ACTCCCAGGTAAATGTGTACAGGATTGTTGCTTGAGACATTCTAAAAGGCTATTGGAATGCAAGGATTTCTTTATGAAAACCATGTGTTATATATACTTATCATTTCATTTGCCTCCTGGAGCTAAAAGTATTATCAAATATTTTTTCTTCCTCAATCCACCCACCCATGTTTTTATCCTAGCAACAACTCTGTGAAGTAGGTTAGGCTGACAACATTCTGTTATGGGAAAACTGGGATTTGACCTGATCTACAAGATGCATTGGGAAGAGGGGAGTGCATGTCAGCACTGAGCTCAAGCAGTGACAGGGGATCTGAGAGAAAGATGTCATTTTGAGCAGGTCTGACAAAGACACACTGATTTTATAATGATGTATTATATAATATTAATTCTATAGCTAATCATGCTGTGTACATGCAGGTATACACACAGATTCTTGTATTTATTGATCTGGGTTTTTCTACTCCCCCCCCCCCAGTTTTCCTAAAATTAGTACATAAATTCCATGTTTTCTCTACTTAAAATGGTATACTTTCAGCATAGATTAAACTAGTCCTTAAAGCATGTGTGGCCAAGCAACATCAAAACAACATGATCAAGATGGCAAAAGTTATTAATGATGATGAACATGCAACCTAGGAGAAGCTATAGCAGTTTGCTTTTTGCCTGAATCTACAGAGAAGGGAAAGATTCCACTGGCCCCATTCACACTACGAAAATAATCCAGGATGAATCCGGGTTAAATCTTTGGTATTCTTACATGGCCTGAATGCACTTAGTACACTTTTGTGTGTGTGTGTGGGGGGGGGGGGTGTTGCCAAAAAACCCCATTTAACCTGGGATATTAAATACTGGGTCCCCCCCCCCAAATTTTCCTGAAAGATCCACATTGATCCACATCATCAGCAGTATGATCAAATCAATTCACTCCAAATCAATTCATTCAAAGGAATGGAGGTAGCTTCATTTTATCCCAAAACGATGGCATGTGTGAATAACACAAGGGTTAAAATGACTCGGAGAGATTTGGGAACCCAAAACATAATGGGAACCAGGACCCCAATATACATCAGTGTGGTGGTCTGCATCTCCTTGGGACAAAAAAAAGAGTGTGAATGCTCCCACTCTTTCTTCTTTCCTCTCCACCATGTTAACTGAGTACAATCAACTTTTGCACTTTGAACTCAGGGCATATGTTCAGTGACAGGAAAATCCAGTTTATTTTTGGGCTACCTCAATCTGCAGCCACCACAGGCTTGTCTACACACACCGAGGTGAGTCTGGGAGAACTGTTCACACCAAACATCCTTCCGTGAAACAAATCACAGTGTGTGCAGCCACATGGTCACGTCCACTCCATTTTTTTTCTCTGCCCCCATGCATGCAAATGTATGTATTTCTGAACTCCTCACTGTCACCTCAGACCGATGTCTCTATGGAGTGCCGTTAACACACTCATGTGAATATCTGGGTTTTCTGCTCAAAACTGGGATAAATCCCCACTTTCCCCCCTCTGGATTAAAGCCCTCAGGCCTGGATTCTGCCCCAGTCATCCTGTAGATCATTTGGACAGTTGAAAACTAGGTGAGATCATTTGGCCAGTGTAGATGCACCCTCTGTTTGCAGCAATTGCAGTAACCGAAGGACAAAAGGGGAAACTACTAGTAGGCAAGATAAAACGGGGTCATTTTAAAAACAGCTGAAAAAGTAGGATGAACAAAAAACAAACAAACCTGGCAAAATGGACAGCATAAACCAGTAGTTTTGTGTGTTCTTTCTCATAAATAATTCCTGTCCTCTTGTTGCCTGGCTACATCATTTTGTCCATTTTGCTTGGCCCTACCAGTTTTCTTCTGTGAAATACTGGAGGGGATACAAGAGGAGATAGTAACAGCAGCTGCATCAGCTGAACAGCCAGCTGTGGGGCTGCACTAGAGCAACTTTCTGTTTGCTGCTATGCAACAC